GTTCTACTTGAAACCAAATTGCACGAAATTAGCGAATATACACTCATCTGCAAACTAATTTGGTTCTTTCGAGAGACTCACCTGGAAGCCAGCTGAATCTCTCGTTTATGATGTTCTCACAGTGTTCAATCGGGCTCCAAAGGTTGATCCTTACTTTTGGGTAGACTTCAGAACGCTTGGTAAAATCCAGAGAATGGACCAGAGTGGCGGATCGTAAACCATTCCTTCTGTTTCGCTGATGATCCTTAGACTTTCAAAATAGGGAGGAAATGGGTGGCAAAACTCGAGCATATTTTTAGCCCGGTTTCAAATGAACTAAACCCCATATTTGATGATTTTTTTCAAGATTCTTTTGGTGACTCCGTTCTCGCATATATAAGGGCTTCATCAGAATTGGTAATAACAGAAAATCAGTCTGTCATGCTAGTCAAATTAGTTGTCAAATTTATCATCGATTTAGTAGGAACTCACTTCTAATGTGGAATTCGAACTTTTTTGGAATGCTGTATTGACCGGGCCAGGGTAGACAGACACAGGAATAACACTGGTGCCCTCAAGGCGTCTGGCCAGCTCAACTGTGTACATGGTCAAAGCTAGTTTGGACTGGTTGTAGGCAACATACGGACCGTAACTCGAACCCGAAAGATGCAGTGTAGGTTTGTGCAGATTGCCAAGGTAGTGCAGCGCATCAGTCATGTTGACTATTCTCCCTTTCGGAGATTTCTTCAAGCTCGGCAAAAGTAATTCGGTAAGAAGGACCGGTCCAAGATAGTTGACAGCGAGTTGCAATTCCTGTCCATCTACTGACTTCTCATAAGTACGACTGATTATAGCGGCGTTGTTGATCAAATAGTCCAGTGGTTCGTTGGTTTTGATAAAGCGTTCAACAAAGTTTCTGATCGATTCAAACGAGGAAAGGTCAAGTTGTTCCAGGCGAAGCTAGAATGAAATCCATGGAAGCGGGACAGAGAGTGAACCATAATACATCATTAGGCCTTATCAACTTCAACAGTGACGTGGGGAAACGTTCAATTGGTACATGTCATACACCTTATTCCAATCCTTGGGTAAGTAAATTTGCGTGCTATGCATAACTACTCAATGCATCTTTGTAATGCACTACTCATAAGGTTGTTGAAAATTCGTCGACAGCCCACTACCGGTTTCGCCCTTCTTGGGTTTTATCAGGTAGGCAAAGTCCCCAAGTTCCATCAACCTGATGTTCTAACTGAACCCAATTTGGACTGTTTTCGAGAAATACACTCATCTGCAAATCAATTTGGTTTTCACGAGAGACGCGACTGAATCTCTCTTTTATGATATTCTACAACTGGATGTGCTGTCCACTGGCCGCGTTATGATATTCGAGATATCGCAGTATATTTTCATAAAGGAATCCACTCACAAGGTTGCTGTAAACTCTTCGTGCAGTTTGGTTCCAAGCAGAACATAAGGTTGATGGAAACTCGAGACTGTGCCTACCCGATGAGCACCAAGAAGGGTGGAACCGGTCGTGGGATGTCGACGAATTTTCAGCAACCTTCAGTACAGTACATTACAAATATACATGTATCACGAGATCTCGAATATCGTAGCTACTGAAGCATGAGGCAGCCTGGCTCAGAACATTGCCTGGAAACTTCACAAACGAGAGATTCAGTTGAATTCCAGATGAATCACTCGAAAAAACTAATTAGTTTGTAAATGAGTGTACGTTCACTACTCAGTGAATCAGCCAAATATGGGATTAAATCGTAAAAGGGTTTACCATCCTTGAATTGTCCGTGCTACGTGTAGTCACCGGTGGATCACGCCAATCAAACGGCAAGAAAATCTGTTTTGGTAACCTCCGTGGCTTGGCTTGAACACTGAGCAGCCATATTCCAGGTGTCATGATGGTTTTTCTTTTAGAGACTTATTGCAGGCTGTCTGTCTGTGGAAATTGAATAAACACGCATAGATCCTGAAAGAATGCCTGAAGGCCTGGGACACCGGGAGGAAGTTCAAGCAGTCTGTTTGAGAGAAAACATCACATTTCAGTTAAAGTACGAAGTGGTGGTCGATGTACAGCAGACTAACTTCGTTCGCATAGTCCAGGTGCGCTAGCGTTTCTCTGGGAGCCCTTGTCATTATCAGTCTATTGAAATGTACATTACATCGACGACATACCATCAAATGAAAGTAGGAAACAGATAAACTTTGGGTAAACATGTGAACAGTTTGACGCAACCTCTGAACAGGCTAGAGCCTTCGGAACAGACATCACAAAGTGCATCACCGATCGTATTGTGCATTTCTGTTGACCGAGTGCATATAACAGGATTGTCCTGACCAGAGTTAAAAGTACATTTGAATCAGATAAAAGAGCACCTGCCTGCCGACACTGCGCGGCGCTGCGCAATCGTTAGGGGTAAGTTAAACTTACTGAAAACTTTTTGTTGGAGATTGAAATCCTGGTAACCGGGAATTTAGCCCTACAGTAGCGTTTTTTGAATAGGGATGAGTAGACAGGTGGGATTCAGTACTCTCCAAAATACTAAACCCCATATTTGATGATTTTTTTCAAGATTCTTTTGGTGACTCCGTTCTCGCATATATAAGGGCTTCATCAGAATTGGTAATAACAGAAAATCAGTCTGTCATGCTAGTCAAATTAGTTGTCAAATTTATCATCGATTTAGTAGGAACTCACTTCTAATGTGGAATTCGAACTTTTTTGGAATGCTGTATTGACCGGGCCAGGGTAGACTGACACAGGAATAACACTGGTGCCCTCAAGGCGTCTGGCCAGCTCAACTGTGTACATGGTCAAAGCTAGTTTGGACTGGTTGTAGGCAACATACGGACCGTAACTCGAACCCGAAAGATGCAGTGTAGGTTTGTGCAGATTGCCAAGGTAGTGCAGCGCATCAGTCATGTTGACTATTCTCCCTTTCGGAGATTTCTTCAAGCTCGGCAAAAGTAATTCGGTAAGAAGGACCGGTCCAAGATAGTTGACAGCGAGTTGCAATTCCTGTCCATCTACTGACTTCTCATAAGTACGACTGATTATAGCGGCGTTGTTGATCAAATAGTCCAGTGGTTCGTTGGTTTTGATAAAGCGTTCAACAAAGTTTCTGATCGATTCAAACGAGGAAAGGTCAAGTTGTTCCAGGCGAAGCTAGAATGAAATCCATGGAAGCGGGACAGAGAGTGAACCATAATACATCATTAGGCCTTATCAACTTCAACAGTGACGTGGGGAAACGTTCAATTGGTACATGTCATACACCTTATTCCAATCCTTGGGTAAGTAAATTTGCGTGCTATGCATAACTACTCAATGCATCTTTGTAATGCACTACTCATAAGGTTGTTGAAAATTCGTCGACAGCCCACTACCGGTTTCGCCCTTCTTGGGTTTTATCAGGTAGGCAAAGTCCCCAAGTTCCATCAACCTGATGTTCTAACTGAACCCAATTTGGACTGTTTTCGAGAAATACACTCATCTGCAAATCAATTTGGTTTTCACGAGAGACGCGACTGAATCTCTCTTTTATGATATTCTACAACTGGATGTGCTGTCCACTGGCCGCGTTATGATATTCGAGATATCGCAGTATATTTTCATAAAGGAATCCACTCACAAGGTTGCTGTAAACTCTTCGTGCAGTTTGGTTCCAAGCAGAACATAAGGTTGATGGAAACTCGAGACTGTGCCTACCCGATGAGCACCAAGAAGGGTGGAACCGGTCGTGGGATGTCGACGAATTTTCAGCAACCTTATGAGCAGTACATTACAAATATACATGTATCACGAGATCTCGAATATCGTAGCTACTGAAGCATGAGGCAGCCTGGCTCAGAACATTCAGTTGCCTGGAAACTTCACAAACGAGAGATTCAGTTGAATTCCAGATGAATCACTCGAAAAAACTAATTAGTTTGTAAATGAGTGTACGTTCACTACTCAGTGAATCAGCCAAATATGGGATTGAGATCGTGACAGAACCTGGCCTGATCTCAGGAGGTCAAATGAAAGGTAAGAGCACAGGACTAAGATGGCGCCCATCCATGCTGTCCATCCACTGTTCCGTTTCATTGTGAAATTTGAAGTTAGGGCACAGCGTCTGTGCATATTTATAGGGGTGAAATTCACGCCATTTAACCCTGATATAAACTTTCTTGAGGACAGAATATAAAGCAGAACCGGTCAATTACGGTGGTGTACACTATGATGCACTTGATGCAGTCCTTTCATCGTCCAGAAATCTTTGCTTTTAAGGAAGAAAACGGAGAGCTCATCACATGAAATTCTTCACTATATCAACCACTAAATCCAAAAATCACTAATGGGAGCCATAAGGAACCCGCATTGCTAGAATTCGGATTTCTTATGCCGCTGTCCGAGTGACTTCACTGGGAAGTTCACAGTAGAAATGTTTTCTAAATCGATCAGTTTGTAGTTAATGAAAGTAACCGGTATCACCGAAAACACCGGTGGAAATCAAAGCAGTTCAGAGAGGATCGACTCTCAGGCATCACAAGTCATCCACCTTGAAGTGACCGTTTTGAGTTTCACCAAACCGGCGTGATTAGTTTCCTTCAGAAGATGATGACCTCGCAGCAGCGACATTGGCGAAGGCGTACATTACTATGGATATTCAAAAATTTTGCGAGGTAGCTGTGGAACTTTTCTCGATAATTCAACAAAATTGGTCTTCAAAATTCATCGGGAGGCCGCACCACCAAACAGTAGATGGACCTTCAGAAAACAAAAGGGCCTCCGATAAAGCGTAGTAAGCAGAACTTTCCATCCATGATCGCCACCCCATTACGTTTCTTTTGCAGTCTGTTTTACTGCCCATCCGTTTGAGTGAATCTTGCTGTAAATTGCTCCTCATGTGAGTAGATGTAAAGCATGTGTTTCGAGACAAAGATATCGATGAAGATCAGTGAAGTTACATTTTCATCGCTTCACTTCAATCCTCATCCTAGGTCATACGAGGTACATTCTAACCAGATTTCCGAAGTTACTTGTAGAAAACCAAGTCTCGATTTCATCCTAAATCGATCTGGACACTATGCCTTGACACCACCATCAATGCCAGACTACCAGGTAAATAATTAGGGACAACTAACCAGGAATTGTCCACCTGGCTGCAAGCGTCTGTGAGCTATGTGACTGAGAATTCCTGACGGGCATGTCAATCGATCGACAAATCAGGACAGTTACTGGGTCATCGTTTGAGTCATCGGGCGAACACATTCATCTGCTCAGAAGTAATAATTCAGGTATGTTCGACGTTAACTGGAGGACTAGCTGTAACACATTCTCCTCGCATACCAGAAGTCCTGAGTTCATACCCCGACAGAACCAAGGATGTGAATGCATCGCTGACGAGCTTTAAGAACAGCGAAACTCTGGGCTCAGCAGAATAATTGCAACGGGACAGGGAAAGGACTGCTCAAAATAGTGTGAGGTTATTCAGTTACCGTAAAAATAGGTGTCCTTTAAAAACCTTGGAATATGGACCCCCAGCTCAATGTCAAAAGGTTTTCCGTGTGTTCTAATAAAGAGTGGGATTACTGCCTTCTCCTAAAAACACGAGGTTTTAACGGTATAGTTGAAAAAAGGACGAATGAAAGGAGTTCAACGAGTAGTCTCCTCAAAGACAATCAGAACTGTCAGCTAAAAGTGTAGACTGCCATGTACAACGAACCCAAGTTGATGTTACTTCCCGTTTAACAATGGATTCATTTTATTCCAGACTACTGTCGGTCATTCTCTCGAGGGTTATTCTTGGTATGTTGGATTCATCAAAAAGCTTATCTATCTTGAATTTGCTCAAGTTAGCCTCCAGTGGATGTTAGAAAAACAAACTCTCTAAGGACGATTAAATGAATGTCTTCATGCGTGTGAGAAACTGAGAGCATTTTCGATTCACTGGTGAAGAAATATGATAGAAAGTGTTTAAGCACAATGGCATTTAGCGCATCATCTATAAATGCACCCCTGGGAATGAGCTATTTTTCAATGAAAAAAAAACAGAGTGAAGAGGCTACGTTTCCATGGTCTTTCATAATAAACCCAACGTAGATTACCGTGTCATTATCCCGGGGAAAGAACTGCAACATGGCTGCACATCCATGAATACCGGGTTCTTCTAAGAACATTGTGGTATACCATTCTAACGAATCACGTAATTCATACAGATTCTGCCAAATGCCACCTTAGACCATTGGGACTCATTTGAAAATCTTAGCTATACGACACCTTAGCGAAATACACTCATTTACAGACTGGGAACATCACAAACGAGAGATTCAGCTGGGGGTCCAGGTGAGTCTCTCGTAAAACCAAATTAGTTTGCAAATGAGTGTACTTCGCTAATTTGGTTTCAAGTAGAACATAAGGTTGACGGAAACTCGGGGACTGTGCCTATCTGATGAACCCGAAGAAGGGCGAAACCGGTCGTGGGCTGTCGAAGAACTTCCAGCAAACTTGTGAGTGGTTTTCGAAAAATTTTGGTGACAATCGGTTGATTTATTGTTGGGCAACGTTTCGATTTTGACACAAAAGCTTCGTCAGGCCAAGTGACTAGGTTCCGAGGTTGATCAAGATTTAAGGCGGAAGGAGAATCAATCAGCTAAGTCAAGCTAAATCTCTGTTGTGTGTCGGCCGAGGGATTTTAGTGTGTTAGTGGAAATCACTAAGCATCACAGCGTGAATAGAATCGAGGGTGTGGAGCTAGCGAGCGTATGGAAAGTGGTCTTAGATAAGCTGAGTTGACACGTGACGGTGTGGTTGTCAATCCACTTAGGATCATTAGAAAAAACCGGGGGGTAGGGGTGGAAACCCCAACCGACCAAAGGTCACAGCATCCCTCCTACACAACTTTCTTAGCACTAGCTCACCCACACAGACTAACAGAAGGTTCAAACGAAGTTCAAGAGGAACCATCAAATGAACCGAACCAGAAGAACTAGACCCTAGGCAGGACCCAAACACATGTAGGTTTCCCCACCGACCCAACACTTGTTCAACCACTCTAACACACTAAAATCCCTCGGCCGACACCCAACAGAGATTTAGCTTGACTTAGCTGATTGGTTCTCCTTCCGCCTTAAATCTCGATCAACCTCGGAACCTAGTCACTTGGCCTGACGAAGCTTTTGTGTCAAAAGTGAAACGTTGCCCAGCAATAAATCTACCGGTTGTCACCGAACTTTTTCGAAAACGATGACTACCCAATCGGTTTCAAGTATTTTCCACGTGATTGTGAGTGGTTTCCTTTATGAAAATTTACTGCGATATCTCGAATATCATGCTAACTGAATCATGAGGCGGCCTGTGTGCAGCACAGTTGTAGAACAACATAGACAAGAGTTTAAGTTGAGTATCTCGTGAAAACTAAATTGATTTGCAAATGAGTGTACTTCTCGAAAACAGTGCAATTTGGGTTCAAGTAGATCATAAGGTTGACGGAAACTCGGGGACTGCGCCTACCTGATGAGCCCCAAGAAGGGTGAAACCGGTCGTGGGCTGTCGAAGAATTTTCAACAGCCTTATGAGTAGTGCATCAGAAGACAACTGGTGTCACCTTAGTCAGTTAAAAATCAAATGCCCACGGGGAGATTAAATAGAAAGAAAGACAACAAAGTAAACACGCTGGACCTACCTGTTCATCTTGAATGGGAGACAATATTGAGCTTATCGTCTCATCCACCACATCAGTTTTTGTGCTTTCTGGATTCTCCGCGCCGTACATTCGTAACAGCGAATCTTTGGCAGACTGAGCTTTGGATATATCTCGGCACGCCATAATCACAGTTGCCCCGCGCCTTGCTAGTTCCCCCGTCACCGAAAGACCTATCCCAGAGTTAGCGCCGGTGACAACAGCTAGTCTAGAATCCATTCGTAGCGGGATACAACATAGCTCTCGCCACCAGCCCTTTGTTTCTGGACCTCGATAGACATCGTTTGCTGCTGCTTCTGGTGCCGCATTTGTTTGGGACTTGCTATCAGACATAATGATCCTGTGACTTCACACACATACCTCACGTTTAACTTATAAGGCAGAGGTTTCGCACGTTCAAGCTCACCAATCGATAAAGTCATAACAGGGGCCAATTACAAAACTGATAGATACCTTGCAATACTGGGTTGGCAGACGGGTTTGTGAAACCTAGAGCGGTAGACTACAGAGCGAAATGGTCTCATGGGAGTCTTACGTATGGTAGAAATATCATGTAATAGATCATTCACCTGAGCTACAAGTGATTAATCGATTTTTGGTGAGAAGATATCGACTGATTGACACCTACTGAATGATTACATGTGATCTCGGAGATGGTGCCACAAGAAGCCAAGGTGGTATCTATGCCATGTTTCCAGAAATATTTAGATCCAAATTCAATGGGTGAGGGGAAACATTTCCATTGAATTCACGCGTAATTCGAGTACTGCAATAAATATAAGACGAATTTGAATACTCGCGTAGATCATATGTTAGATTTTTGCGAATTTCAAATCAGGGAAAAGCTTTTTTCCATGCCAATTCATTAAATAAAGTGTGAGCAACTTATGCAGACTGAAACCGGGAGCAAATTCAGTTACGTCACCCACCCGGAGACCTTATATCAATATAGTCTTGTCTAACAGCCGACATCTTGCTCACAGGACGGCAAACTCCTTTGTATTGTGGATTCGTTGACCGTCTCTTCACATTCCCGGTCGGATCAATTTGAGGTTGCAATACGCCTATCTGTTCATAGGCTGAGCTGACTTCCAACAGACCATCTAACCCAATCAAATTTTGTTCCCGGAGGAATTCGGCGTCTCGGATCAAGAAGTGACGGCGATCGTTTTAAGACCCAGTGGATCTGTATACGCTCCCAGAAACATCAAATTCAGGGAATCTTGTTTTGCACTTTTAAGTTGCGACCCATATTTTTATCTGGGAAGACCGGTTGCGAATCACTGCACAGTAGGAATCTTGTTTTGCACTTTTAAGTTGCGATCCATATTTTTATCTGGGAAGACCGGGTTGATAAGTTTGAGATAAGTCAAAAGGGACGACTGTTCAAAATCCGTAGGCATCTCACTAAGGGTTTTGCTCTATTCAAAGCTGATGGGGTAGGCATTATCATGGGCACCTGAGATAAGCAGTGATAAACTTGAACACCCATTTGGTTTTTTTTTCTTGGAGGGGGGGGGGCAGACAATGGAATTGGAGACTTGATTGAACCTTTTGTATGCGTGAACATATCGATATTGTTCCGCGCAGTACTTGGTACAAAGACGGCCTCGAGGATCTGTTGCGAATATATTCAATAAAGTTCCTTCTGTTGGCCATGCGAATACTGTTTGAAATTCGCAGAAAGCCAGCTACCGGCTTAGCCTCCTCTTGGGACTCAACAGTTAGGCGCATTCAGATGAACAAACCATTTCAAGACTTAACGGCAAAAGGTTTGTTCAAATTGCGTTTCACGAAAGTTTCTTGATTCTTTGACTAAAATGGGAAATTCGACGCTTTCCCCGGATAAGAGCATAGTCTGAATCAACCAATGTATTCCAAATTGATCAGCTGTCAAGAAGTGACCCTCGCCAGCAATAAGCGATAGCTGTGGGGCTAATCTGACCTCAAGGTTTTCCAGAAGTGGAGAGATGTCAAGTACCAAAACGGCACCCACTACATTTCAATTCATTTCTACCACGTCAAAATTTCCGGAAACCGTTGAGTACCCTGGTAATACATTTACACGTAAACATGATATTTGTTGGCGTCTTTGATGACCCACAGCTATTACTGAAACTGTTAGCCATCTGTTAGAGTTTTGTGTAAGCCGCTTGTTTTGCTGAACTTTTCAAGTCCCGCTCCGCTTAGTCCCTGTCCTACAGTCTGCTGGCTCCAATAATACGTTGCATTTGCGTGAGTCTGAATTATTTTTATTATATCCTGATGGATTTTTCTGCGATTAATTCGAACTTCATGTTTGAATTACGAGCTCGTTTGCTTTCTCCACAAAGCTATGGGACATAAGCCGCTATTTTTGCACTAAAGTTTTGACGTAAAATTTGTAAGCCTCTTGCGGCATACCAATGGTTAAAGGTGCCTGCAATGCACATGGGCCATCCCGTATTTCAATATACTTTTCTCTCTTTTTACGAGAACCTGATCAAACGCACCGAAACCTTCATAAGGGTATTGTGTGAACGAGGGTTATCCGGTCTTCTGGGATCATCTTGCGTGGCAGGGGGTATTGTGCGTTAATTACAAGCTACTGACAAAGTTTAAGTAGTCAAACGAATCAGTCTGGTTAACTAATGCCGGTTCCGGAATTTTTCGCACTTCCAGATCAGTGCCAGTGTTTGCAGCATACCAAGTTATCGTAACGACACGCATCTGAGACTAAGTGGGACTCTTCTAATGGAACTTATCAGATTTTGTTTCTTCTGAAGGTGTTTTTGGATTCCAACCATTTGGTGCTCTGTTTCTTGGGACGCCTCTGTCGGAGACTGGCATATCCATGCATCAGCAATTTTTACCCTCGACCAACTGCTCACAGGCGTTTCATATTGGGATGTAATGGCTCCTTATAAAGTGTTTCTGCTACCTCTTTTTTTCTTAAGGCTTTCGGGTTCGTACAATCATTTCCTCCGAGAGGAGTTATTGTTGGTAGTGTGAGGAGATTTGGGATTTTTGTGTCGATTTCGTCCTGTAAGTGAAGTCAATCTATGCTGAAAAGCCGAGAAGCACTGTACAGCTGTTTCATCCTTATTGGGAATCATCAGCAGTGCGCTTCTCACGAAACTCCGGTGAGTCTCGAATCCGCGACCTCCTGGCTAGTAGTTTGAGCACTTAACCATTCGGCCACGAGCGGCCGAGTGGCATAGATTGGTTTCACTTACAGGACGAAATCTCCACAAAAAAGAGGAGTTATTTTACGCTGTAGGTATTGTATTTCTGAGATTTGAGTCCTATCTTCATCACTTTTCAGAATAACTAACAAGTCAACAGAACTTCCAAAAACCTATCGATATATATTGGCATATCATACAAGCCAGAGTACAAATGCAGCGGTAGAAAATGAGGGAAAGGGGCATCACTTAGACGTTTGTTTCTTGTTTTTAGATCTCTGTTTAGTCGGAGCTGGCAGTGCAGCCATGGAATTCTGTTTCTGCTTGAAGTTCACAGGCTGAGGGGAAGATGGTTCATCAGAGGAATAGGACTCATCGAACCTCAGGTCGTCCACGCTGTCTTCTTCTTCGTCGTCGTCTTCATCATCACTTTCTTCGTCGACCAATTCATCTGGATCCAGGTCATCCGAATCCGTCGGATCATCCTCAATTGTGTCCTCGTCTTCTTCAAACGAGTGAGTCACGTTATCAGAACTACCCTCACTCTCTTCCTCATCCTCACTCGAACTGACCGCATCGTCCATTGGCGAAAGTGGTTCTTTGGTGATTAGCAATCCAGCCTCGTACAAGCCAATAGCTGCATTCATCTGAAACAGAACGGTGTAGAACAATACAACACTACGGTGAAATACTAGAAACACGGCTCATCAATGATTAGAAAAAAACATCCATCATCTATCTATCTAATAAGAACGAAACTTGAGTCCAGTGCTTCCCTTTGGTGTGGACTCACCGGAACAGGAGGACGACCGTTCAAACGCGAGTGGTGTGGCTATGAGCAAAATACCTATCCCGCAAAGCCCCAGAACTGCAACCAAAAGGTTGCCCAGTGGGTTTCAAGCGTGCGTCACGCTACCTGACTGGTGGGTCAATCGATCGTCACAAGCAGGACGGTTACTGGGTCGTCGTTCGATGAGTCGGACACACTAGTCACATCGCTCAAATGTGGACCCGTTTCGCCGGTTCAGATGTGAAACGTGCGTCCAACGTGCGTTGGTGGGGTAGTGAATACACACTCGCCCCGCATCTCAGATGTCTGGGGTTCAAATCCCGGGACGGCCATTGGATATGCACTGCTGATGAGCTCTAATGAGAGCGAAACTCGGGTCCAGTGCTTCCCTTTGGTGTGGACTCACCGGAATAATTACGCCGGAACAGGAACACGACCGTTCAAATGCGAGTGGTGTGGCTATGAACATCTATCAACCTTAGGTGTTAAAATACGATGGGAGAAGTAGGGAGTAAAGTTCCCTTCGAAGGCGAAATATAGTCCAGTAGAACAATTATCCATAGAGCTGCCAAATGGCTCTTAACAGTATGAATGCAGGTGATCATGCAGAACTCCGACGCTTGAATCGAAAGAGCGGAACAATGCGGGTACTATTCGGATCAGTTCTGAAGCACGTGATACGCCTACGGCCAGAGAATCCACCCGAGAATGGAATAAATAAGGAAGCTCTGTCATCTCCCAAGCGTACTGTACTGTACCATGGAGCTTTTGTTGTTATTTGTCCTAACCAATGGCGAGACTTGGTGCCAGATTGACTAGACGAGATCAGATCGGTTTCACTGCAGGCCAATTATGTTAAACGAGTTTGAATAAAATAAAGCATACGTAAGGGGTAGACTTGGTGCCAGATTGACTAGACGAGATCCGGTCGGTTTCACTGCAAGGCAATTATGTTAAAAGAGTTTGAACAAAAATAAGGCATGTCGTAAGGGGTAGGAAGGGGCACATTCAGTGAATTTGTTCAGGTTCTTGGTGGCAAACGTTATGAAACAGAAAGAAAACCAAAATATCTCGACAAAAACCTAAATTTTCGACTTGTACCTTGTCTGGGTTCTAACCAAATCAAGTCCTCTAATATCCATCTGTGAAATCAGTGACCAAACGACTCACTTAAAGAGAAATCCAGTAGCAAAGAGTAGCTCATCTGGCTATTCTTCACGTAGTCTCAGACCACGGAATGAAGTGAACTAAATTTTTTTAGCTTAAATCTGTTATTCATGGAGGTCCAACTAACGACGGTGGGTATGGAGAATTCCGATCAACCTCCGGTTAGACTGGATTTCGCTAAGCTGTAACACCCTTCCGGTGCCTAGCTGCCATGCTAACAGAAGGAAGCAAGAGGGCTGGGATGCTGTCAAGAAGTCGAGAGGTAGAGGTCGGGTTCGAACCACGAACATTCCGGCCAGTAAATTCGCGCTCTACCCAACTGAGCCATCTCGCCTCCCGATCAACCTCAACGTACTGTTTAATCGCTTGCTCCTTATTTCATCCTGACTAGCTAGCCTATTTACTTGGCGCAAGTAAAACTTATTGAATGGAAGCGTTGTATCGATGGGAAACAGCCGATTTTAGAGACAAAGTAAGGACGAGAAACATCAGAGAACCGGAACAACGTTCACCACCTACTCGAATACGGCTTCATATTAGATTGACAGCAACGGTTCACTGGTGCCTGCTATAGCGTGCATACCTGACAATGGTCGCAGTAAGTTGGAGGTCTTCCAATAGGATAGGGGTTTCGTTGTCTTGAGAACGAATGGCAATCGTGCGTAAAGACCGTCGTTTTAGGAGGTTAACGCTGTGTTTACTTACGTTACAAGATAATACAAGAACAAACTTGTTTGCACACGAGTGCCCCAGTGACCAGTTATACAATGCGGCGTGAACACAGAAGCGAGAAGGATTTGCCGGACTTCCTCGTTACTTTGCATTCAACTACCAGTCAGAACTATCATGACAGCTCCTAAGGGTACATTTTTCGGAGCACTAAGTGACTAGCCTGTAAAATACTCATATAGCAGTTGTCAATCTCTTATTCTATAACAAATGGAAGAGCACGTTAGTCGGGAGGTCATGTGACATCTTTTCACGGCAACCGAGTAGTCATTCAGGGCTTTAGGGGATGCCAGGAACGAGATAGTGTCCACTAAGAAGCTAACTTCGGTTGACAGAAGCTATGGTGAGAGCGGTAATCCTATGTCATAGCAACTTCTGTTGTCGTCATCCTTTACGACTCGCAGAAACTAAGCGTTCAATCACACAAGGTCCTTCCGAGGGCGATTAACAGCCGATGGCTTCAATGCTTCGTGTATATCCTGCCTGAAACCAAGAGTTGTACTGTTCTGACCATCACACGATAGTGTCCGGAAGGCCCCACAAAAAAACACAAGTTATACTATCTCCCGCAATAACCTTCAGGATGTCTAAAGGACTCGGTTGAACTGCCTAATGACGTGTGATAGTTTTGCCGTCGACCATCATTTGAGGCTGGCAATAATTCGAAACAGATCAGTACGCACAAAGCAGTGGAGCTTATAACTGGCAGTGGTATACATTTGACAAACCCAGAAAGTCGACAATACTTGTCGGAAACGTCCAAACTGATTGTGGATGACAAACCTCCGCGGAGCAGACTAGTCGGTTTCAGGATTTCTATTCGTCTAGGAACAATATGGGACTGATATCATCAAACACAACCAATGAAAAGTAGTTTCCCAAATTTTAAACTTATAAAATATGGATATGAAAGCAGGAATTGAAAGCAACCTACTCACTCGGTCATCCAGGGTCGCCAAGGGGAGGTTATCGACCTTAACGAATGATGGGTACTGTCTGGCCAAATAGTCCAAAGCGGGAAGAAGCTACAATGAAATGAGGGGGGAAATCTCGTGAGCAAACTGAAGTCTGAAGGTTCGAAGTAGGATGGACGTGTACATGTTTACCGCCCTACCTTTCTATGGAGGGCCATCTCATCTAACGGACGTTCTTTGTACACATTGGTATTGCTCAGTGAATGGTAGACAGCAATCAGATCCTTGGGGTCTTCTTCGGACTCACTTCCGGAACCTTCATCATCGGTAGATTCATCCTGACCGGACGCTGGAGCGCCGGTGGCTGAAGCAACACGTGTACGTACGGCCCGAACGGCGCTCCAGCGAACCAAACGAATTTTGGTATCCGGTTCCAGTTCGACCAGATCTACCACACCTGGCTTCTTAGAGCCGCCACTTTCCCCTTCAGCTGTGGTGAACATGCACCAACGTTCGCCTTGACTTTTCACGTGGCACATCAACTCTTCTAAAAACGAGAAAAAGTGGGGAAGAAAATAGTGTAACGGCATATAATGAGAGATCATGCAATACAGCTGAAACAACTTTTCATATTGTGTGGATGCATAACATTGATGATTGACCAGAACTCATGGTACTGAATCGTGGAGTTGAATAATAACATGTAATGTGGCTACGAACACACGAAGATCGTCCTACTCACCATCTTTGAGTTGCGGTGGCAGAGACTGTGCAATCAGATCGGTAGCAAACAGGTCCGCAGCCGTGAGTAACGGATCCGGAGCAGTCAAAGACTGGCATGGAGCTGAGGAGGACTCCTGTTGACCCGTGTTAGCCTGTCGCTCCAGTTGGTCAGCTAACATCCGCAAGCGGGCCACAACTTCTGCGCGAACATGGGCCACAACCTTTGTAGACTCACCCGACTGTGAGAGATGTAAGTGGACCCGGAAAGGGGATCAGAGAAACAGGTTTTACTTGCCGAAAAGTGAGACCGGAGCAATCCGACAAGTACAATTAAAATCTCAGTAAGTAGGGCAAGGAGTAATTCACTCAAACAGATCATCTCTATTGTTAAGGAAATCGATGGGCCAACAAACTCCCTGTAATTGATAGGTTAAGTACCTTGGAAATATGTGGGTTTGCTAACAGCGTACATAAACGGGAAAGCATAGCGATCACTTTGAATCAAGGAAAGGGTTGAGTTTCCGTGTTCTCAAGTACTTCGGCTGACGGATGATATTCAGGTAAAAGACTGAGGTTTAAGGAGAACGCTGTGGGATAAGATTTTTCCAGGAACAGATGAATTTCGATAGAGAACTATACAACAGTTGTATTATCATTCAGTTTTGAGGAGCATGGCCACAAACATAAAAAGTCAATGCAAGCGACGAATGCGAAAGGTTAACAGGAGAATATGGGAGAAAATAGAGAAACGTCTCATTCGAATTCATGTCAACAACAGTTCCAGTCAGATGAGATGAATTCCAAAGTATGTAAAAATTTTGATATGCAAACACGCGTCTAAAGACCAACAACCGAAGAAAGGACAAACAATGTTGAATGCTCTTCAAGTCGCGGTAGGTGCTTGCACAGTCGAGACTCGCACATCAAGCGCAAAGTGTCCGTCATACTGGGTCTGGTGTGAGAGTAAATGGCGAAAATGTACATTCAGCGCCATGTGCCACGCATAAAAGTGCCATAAGTACGCAGAGAGCCCACAATGGCAAGCAAACACCAGTCACTGACTGCGACCTTAAGAAGTCCCAGTCCAATAACAGCCTTAGCGGATTGAGGAAAGCAGATCCCTAGATAAGAGATGATCATCGGTTGGTGAGCCAAAAAGTCGAAGGGAAAGTAGGCACCACTATCGGAACTCCTATGCTGCCATCGCAATCACGAGGACCAACACCGCCACCATTAAAAGCAAACATGGTGATTACCAGGCAGCTGAAGAATACGGCTAATTTGACAAAGGCCATCGGAGAAGGCTATGAAAGCCATGTCACTAACCTTATCCTTCTCTTTATTGGACATGGATTGGGAGAATCCACCCACATGACGCAGGAAACCGACAGGTAAACCTTTCCGAAATTCCACGCTGGTCTCTATTGCTGACTGCAACGCGATAGGGAGGAGCTGAAAAGCAGAGTATGAACTGGGTCAAAGAAGGGGGGGTTAAAACAGGCTGCGGATTTCAGAGGTGATGTGTGACTCATCGATACTTTCTCATGATCACTTTCGGTGGGTGAACAACTCCGCTCACCGACTGGATGTGGTCAGTAAGTGAACGGCCCGTGGATCGAAACTAACCTAGTTCCTGCCTAGGCTTTGGTAACCTGCTAGCACCTCTAGACTAGCAGCTTTCGAGTTGCATGGCAGCTATCCATGAAAAGCGTATTACAAATGAACGATTTATTTATTTTGCGTGAAGATTTAAACAGTCACTAACTTGTCTGGAATGAAAATAAGCTTGTCCAGTGATCAGAGGACTGTTCCTGCACATTGCTTTCAGTATCTCGTGTTTTTCTTTCGAGGACACAGGCGTCCTGAAACGGACACTTACGATTTTCGGGAGTTGCTTTATTGGAAGGCAACCTCCAGTGTAGGTACACCTCCCTGAGGGCAAGACTATTCTATGATATATCAGCGGATGGATTAACCGGGACACTAATTAGCCAGCTAATGAACTGAGGAGTAGATTGAACATGTGGCATGAGCTGGTATACCGGTAGACTATCCCAGTTGGATAAGAACAACCGAAAAGTAAAAAAAACAAGTTCGGATCACGAACCATTCGCGTGTTATTCTGTGGCTCAAACAATTAACAGCTAGGCGTGGTGTACAAAACGTATCCCATAGAGATGACCGTAAAAATACCCGCTCACTTTTGAGAGGAAGTCACCCCAGCTGTGTTTCTGATAGGCGCTTATGGTGAGATGAAGCGAGTGCGTATCCTCGGAAGTTTCAGCTTGATGGATGTAACCACGTGGGAAGTAGAGCACATCCCCCGGCTTCAACGTGGCTGTAAGGATCGGCTCACCGATCTCCTCTTGAGTAAAGTTGGCTGAACAAACGTCAGTGAAGAGGGAGAATATGGGAAGTTGTGTTTACGAAAAACCAGATCGTATTCTAATTCCAAAAAAACACCCGCCCAAAGTCTAGTGTAGCTGTTTCGTAACAAGTACTTATAAAAACACCGGAAACAGCGGAGCAACTGAACAATCAGCTGCGACTAAAGTTAGAGGTCAGGACCAGTGAGAACAAACAATTAATTCTCCTTCAGAATATCACACGCTTATGAATACGTGGCACACTTATATCCGTCTACAACTATTGTATAGTCGGATAAGCAAAGTAAATCTATTCGACAGATGCACTGATTTGCATAACCATTTAACTCTGACTCGAGAATCACCTGAATCCTGGTTGAATATCTCGTTTACGGTGTTCTTTTTCAACTGAATGAAGGACATCATAAACCGTTAGGCTGAAATTCATGCAAATCTCCCGTGAAAACGAAACTGTCGCGCAAATGACTGTCGAAGTACATGCAATTAGGGTTTAAGTGGACTGCACCTACCTGGTGAGTCCCAGGAAGAAAAAACCGGCCGTGCGCTGTCGAAGAGTCTTTAACATCGTTATGAGTAATGTTTTATGTCTATACAAAGTGAATTAATCTTTACATTTCCCCAAAGAAGTTCGGCTGCATCAAGAATCAGTCGGAGCCCTTGCAATTTCAGTTCAATCTATCTTGGCCACCCGGAGAAGCTATCTAGTTGCAAAAAGGACCGTAGATATTTACCCCTTCCCATTCAGTCAGACCAGAAAACACGCAAACACGGCCTATAGGGTTCTAATGAGAAGACTTCAGGCGACCACCCACGTATTTGAGGATGGTGCACATCAGGTTCCCATGAATCCAGACCAACCTATCTCGCTATATGCACCTGAAATTCGTCGGCGAAATCAGGAAATCTGGAGGGCCCCTCACTAACTTGTTTTTGCAGAGGAAAAAATATCGACATGGAGTTCGAGTGACCGAACCGTTCACTTCATTCATCAGGAGTGAGAGAAGAGACGTTCTAAGAGACGTTCAAGTAGAATAAGAACTGACTCATAGGCATCCAACCCCGATGAGTCTCGATCCAAATGCTATGCCTCAGCGTACGCAGGCCACAGTCTTTTAATTCAGTCAGGGTCGGGATCCTCTAAAATTACCTCACATAATAAAGGCGAGATATGATACGCTCAAATCATCCTGCTAGGAGATGCACACTCATTACAATAGATATCAGTGAGTAGGCGATAAAAGGTTAACACAAATTTCACTCACGGCTTGGGTCACATGCTAGTTTTTCGGACTCATTTCTGATCAGTGACAGAGGAAGAGAGAGTACAGGTAGAATTATTGAATGCTACGGGATGCATGATGAACAGTTGAGATAAATAATGAATGGTACAAGCAGAAAACTAAGTAAAACGCATCGGGCGCCGAAAAGATGGTTCTGTCTTGGGAAAATGATAGGTCACCGAGAGCATATACCCTCTGGTATATCGACCACAGAAATCATCATCATCATTGCAGCTGTGATTAACCGCGTACTCGTCGTAGTGTTTGTAGCTGCCGCAGTTTCGTTCACTGATGATTTGGGGGGGGAGGGGGGAGGGGACTGCGCATTGCAGGTGGGAGCTGATAAATTGGTGCATAAATCCAGCACTGTCAGTGGGCTGTCAAGTAAGGGGGGTTGGAGAAGGAACTATACACTGAAGACAATAGCTTTGATGCATGAGTGCCCTTGAGGGCGCGACTTGGCCACGTCTGACAATGTCTCTAGCCATTCATGTGGCCCGTCTCGTGGTCCCCATCCAGGAAGACGGCGGTGACCAGCGCAGCTGAGTTTGCTGGTAATGGCTTTCATACTTCGCTGCCAAGTCACTGTTTGACCACCTCTGGCTCTCTTCCACCCTTCACGTGGTTGTGCAAAAAGAGCCCTTCGAGGACGTCGGTCGACTGGCATACGCAGCACGTGGCCAAGCCAACGCAACCTGTGCAGTGTGATCAGTTCAGACCACGGAAAGCGGTTTGGCTGAAGGATACTTGCGACAGAAGGTTGACGTAATCGTTCTAGACACACAGTATTGAAACTATAGACTAAGTCAGAAAATAGCATGATAAAAGAGTTGAGATACATGCTTCCACAGAGGAGGCTTTTGACTAGGGTGACAATCTGCAATAAAAAGGGCGAACATTGTGCTTGAAAGGAAGATCGCTCGACTAAGTGCAGATGTAATGACCACTGAAAAGCACGTCTAGGGATGTAGTGAGACAATACTGTTCCAAGAGAAACGGTTCAAAAACAACACTGATTCCAAAAATTCCTGGCAATCAGTTCTACTAAAAAACGGGTGTTGGCAGCTTAGGCTGCATAGTGCTTGTTGGTTTTATTTGTCAGTCCGGGAAATTTGGTTGCCAATGCTTCATCACTGACGCATCGCAACACTTCGCTAATTGGAAACGTACTGACAATGTGTCGACCAAACCCGTCGACACGCGATCAGCTCAATCAACATATCCACGGTGCACAAACATTGCAATCAGAGAGATTTAGTTACAGAAAAGTGGGACTAATACCGTCCTCAAACGGTGACTGACAATCAGAGCAGGAATTACGGAGAAATTGTGGAAGAAGATATGCAGCGTCCAACCAGGTGCATTCGGTGCGTACAGCGAAGCAAAATCGCAAGACGAGGTTAGACGATGTCGACAGAACAACTAAAGACTCCAACAATCGGTCTTCAGGTCACGCAGATTTTTCTTGAATTGACTCTTGAGGTAGGACAAAAAGGAAGAGTCATTCTGTTACCCCGAATACAGTAATGAACATATCCGAATTGGTAGCGGAAAGCAATATCGATATGCTGACCGGAATGCCACACAGTGAATGAATAAGGTGTATTTCATTTGTAATGTACTACAGCGCCTACCTGATGAGCCCCAAGAAGGGCAAAACCGGTCGTGGACTGTCGATGGATTTTCAGCAACCCTATGAGTAGTACATTACAAATATACTTGTATCGCAATATTTCAAATATCGTAGCGACTGAAACATGAGGCGACCTGGTGCAGCACATTCAGTTGCCTGAGAACATCATAAACGAGAGATTCAGCTGGGTTCCAGGTGAGTCTCTCGAAAGAACCAAATTAGTTTGCAGTATAAAATGCGGTGACACTTAAAAATGAATGTCAACCGAAATCATCCACGAAAGTAGACCAGGCCACCTTATTTGATAAGAAGAAATCCAACGTATGCAACTGGACCAAACGAATTGAATTAGGGAGGATATGCGTTAAATTAGGAGAAGCCAGTAGTGTCGGTGTGCGGTGAGGTGCGAGCATCCTCCAAACCTATCTTGCCGTCTATGCCAAATGCACTTGAACTTCACACTTCGCAGAAAACTAAAAAATCGTCCAGCTGTAGCACCCTTTCGGTGCCTAACTGCCATGCCACCCGAAGGATGCACGAGGGTTGGGATACTGGCAGGTTGCCCAGGCCCAGACAGGGGAAGTCGAGAGGCAGAGGTCGGGTTCGAAACGCGGACCTTTCGGTCAGTAAATTCGCGCTCTAACCACTTGGGCCGTCTCACAGAAAACTAACAAAAAAGCCGTCGAAATGGAATGCCTTCCCAAGCTGCGAAACAAACGAATTAGCGAAAGTGGATGCCATCACAGACTGTCTGTAAAGTAGAACAGTTCTTGATGCCGCCCGTTGTCACGTGCTAAGAGGCGACATTTTCGCAAACCAACCCCAGTCTTACGTGAAGACCCGATGGATTGAAGAGCTAAAAGTTTCTGTTTCAACCGAGACGCCTGCGAGAAATACCAATCACCTGGTTGTCTTCGATTGTGAAAGACTACGACGGCGAAATTGAGACTGTAGTAGATCTCAAATTAGAATGGATAAGCACCAATTATGGTATCATCAAGACGCTGATTAACAGCATCACAAAGTAATGTGTAGTAGTTTTGAAGTGAACTGATGATAGTATAGCAGGCAGACAAATCGAAAACCAAAAAGAGGGAATTAAAAACAACAGAAGAATGGTTCAAAATACCCAGGAATCTTTAGCACCACCTGCAACGGGGCAGTCGGTTCGAGCATTTGATTCGCCAAACCGTAAAAGCGGCAAGATATCAGAGACATGGAGAACCGTAGGACGATAAGCCAAACGAATACGCACAGCACATGGAACTACAGTGAGGGATGACAACTCAAAAGGGTCGGCCAACAGCAACAGAAAAAAGACTCACCGTGGAGCATAGATACGCCAACGTTTAGTCCCCTCCAGCTGTAAGACGAACGCTTCGATATCATCATAATGTGGGGCGAAACCCTGACTACCCGGCGGTGTGAGGTAGACGTTGGCACCGACAAAACAACCAAAGTATTCTTGCAGCAAACTCAAATGTTCACGGATGTTGCTAAAGAACACCTGAGGACACAATAGGCGAACGGAGCAACCGGTCTGGAGGGAGAGAGCGCGGAAAGAAATGATCACACTGAGAGGAGGTTTGGGGACTGTAACAAGTTCCGCTTGAGAATCTCTTCACAATAGTTTGTACCCGATTACAAAGGCCTCATGGCTAACTATTGCGATCTTCATAGCCTATAAGTCTAGAAGCAAAGACTAGTCTCGAACTGAACGCATGATCTTATCGGAGCTGGCTTTGCGTATCCTTTGTTCCGACAAAAATGCACATTTCATAAGTGAATCCGGTCAGGGTCAGATGCTCCTTGCTTGCGAATTTCACCGATACAAGTTTGACCGAGTGGACCAGATTAACGGAACTCACAACCGAGACGCGGCAAAAGCCCTAAGCCTTAGAGTCCGTAGGTTCAATTCGACCTACAGGCGTCACTCGGATGCCCCATAGGCGAGACGCCATGCCAACGTGAAACGGCGGCAATCTGGCCCCGAACTATGTGTTAAATTGTATTGGAAGTCAGGTAGGCATTCAAGACTAAATCTACGTGTGAATTAGTCCTGAATAGGAGCGTAAATATTGGTGTGTGCGCTGGAAGGTGAAACACACACTAACGAGTCACAATAAGCTCAACAACACGAGGTCTTTTGTACGTGTCGGGACTCTGAAACAGACTGCGGAAGTCAGATCCAAGCTGCTGACCCCATAAGCATTCGCCGCCAACCACCGGTAAAGACGGCAAGCTGGAGTTGGAAGCAAAGCACCCGTTCAAACTGACTCGAGAACCGTAGTATGAGCTCTTTCACGAGAAACAGTGACCAGTTGGGATGAACAAGTGCCTCACTGAGTGGACGTCTTATAAAGCACGTGTCGTTAAATAATTGGTCTAAAGCGATTATCTGAAAACGTTCCGGAGCTGTACAATAAATCTCGAGGTTTGGCAGTACAATGCTTTTGAAAGCTCTGATATGAAACAAGGCAACTCAGCAGTTAGGGACGCAGAGAAAATCGTGTCCCAAGTCCGGTCTCATAAGGAGGGACGGGCGATGAATTACAATGATCACCTGACACCAAAATTGAGGGAAGAGCGTTTTCACCTTTGAAACGGCCCGCATCAATGCGTTATTATAAGATACGCTTCCTGGCTATGTTTGTACGCTATTTTCCCCTATCCAAACTTCCGTAACAATNATGATCACCTGACACCAAAATTGAGGGAAGAGCGATTTCACCTTTGAAACGGCCCGCATCAATGCGTTATTATAAGATACGCTTCCTGGCTATGTTTGTACGCTATTTTCCCCTATCCAAACTTCCGTAACAATTAAACTTGAGCGATTTTTTAACTAAAATGAGCTGCCAAATATTTCACTCAATGCGAACTGGTTAGCAAGTGATGTTCGATAAAACAAGAGACCACCTTGCAACTGACAGCACCAAAACAAAGCCACCCTAGGAGCGATAGTGCATCCGCACACGCCGCATTGCCCGCATTCTTTGCAAAAATATACTGGCGACGGAGTTGAATTTGTTAAGTGCAGAAACGTACGTACTTGCAAAAATAATGATTGGCACTGGACACATCGAACAGGAGTAATGAAAATGCATTCGTAGGGTAAACGACGAGTAGTTATCACGCCGATTCAAGCTATTGGGATGAGTCACTTCCACGTCACCTGGACATCGACAAGAGCAGCAGAAAACCAAAAGTTGATTTCAACTGGACAGTCCGACTTACATTATAATGATCCCAAACGACTGAAGGAAAGGCCTGTCCTGGTGGATTCAGCGTGTAGCGCCGTCCATCTTCGTAAGCGGCCAAATCCAAGTGTTCGGTGAACATCACGCGTTCCTTGAGAGGAAAAAATATAATCTATGGGATCCGATAACTGCAGGAAATTATCCAACTGCGACATGAAAAGATATGACTTTAGGTAACTTTGAATTTTCGCACTCCAAAGATGTATCGACTCCAATAGACTCAGAGTCATCTTCACTAAGAAAATGGACTTTACCATGGTGTGACAGTTTATGGCGACCCATTGGGCTATACCGGGGGTGTCCGCTCGACACTCGAAGGGTCTCTCATACCAGGTTGGTCAATGGCTAGAGGTCCGACGAACACAGTCTCCTAATCCTCCAGGTTGGGGGTTGGATCATGTGTGGCGACGTAAAAATTGTAATGTACTTGCACTCCCCGCTGCTTTGCGGTCAGGCTTTTGGGCTAAAGGCTTTGGTTGAGGACCCTAATCGTCCTCCTGTCTAGGTGTGGCGCCCTGGCAGCAACCCAGCCCATGTACAACCATGAGCTTCACATTTACGGATAAACTCATGCCATATCAGCCTTCTGAAGAGGGCGCCGTTTTGTGTCTAATTCGCAGTGATGGAAGCAGATGGGTAGCCAACCCTTGAGCTAGCAGAAGGGTGTGAAAGAGATCACGAAACGGTTGGGTGCTACTCGCTGCGTGACCCCCAGTGCGCTTGGTTGGAGGCACTGCAAAATATGGCTGCTAAGCAATGTCAACGACGTTCTTGTTGTCAGTTTCTATCCGGATTGTCTGAATGAGTGTCTGGAGGTGTAAGCACCACGGAATGATTGTGGCGAGCTAGCGCTAAGTCCCTTCCCCGTCCACCTTTACTCTTTTCTTTACAATAAGGCTTTCAAATAAATCATGGTTGTACGGCAGTGAAGCATCGGTGTTGAACACTGATGTCATGCTGTCGATGATGATGATGATGATG